ATATGTCCTAGGGCTTGGCAAGGATCCATGCTTGGCGGCATGCCCGTGTCCCGAGGGGCGAGATGATGTGTTTCTCTCTTGTCAGAGTTTTGCGAAGCAAGCAACCCAAAAAAGGTGCAGATCTGCAGCATGGATTGTGGCATGAGGGATGATTCAGCTGGCCATTTTATGAGTACCCCTCCAACTAATCAGCCTGACACTATGATTGGGACAAGTGCCAAAAGCAGGAAGAGAACATGTGGCGATGAAGAGTTGCACAGTCGCATGTCAGAGAGAAAGGGAGAGACAGAGAGATGTTGTCGATATCATGCTGGACACATGATCCGGAGTCGCTCCAAGCCATAGCGCAGGATCTTCGACTTTGCGTCGGGCGAGTGTCTGCGATGCTTTGAGGGTCCTGGGCCCAGCATACCCTCCTCTCAGCTTGCCTTCTAGACAGTTCTTAAGCCCTAAACCTTAGAGCCCTGAAGGTTAAGGGAGCTGTAGTGACTATCGGGCGCTTCCCAGACACATTGCATGGCCCAATTAGGATACAAGCTAACCAGGATGCTTGGTTCCCGGCTTTCAAGGGTTGGGGGAGGTTCCTTGATCTAAACCCTAAACCCACAAACCCTAAACCCCCAAACCCCGAACCCCAGACCCCAAACCCTAAACCCTGAACCCTAAACCCTCAACCCTGCCCCAAACAAAAGCAGAGCACTTCGGGCCCCAGGGCATGGCGACCACGTCTACAGCGCCAGGTTTTCCCCCTCCTGCAAGCAGGCCCCATTTTCGGGCGGGGGTCATTTTTGCTGGGGTTTAGGGTTTAGGGTCGAGGGTTGAGGGTTTAGGGTTTAGGTTCTTGGGTTTGGGGTTGAGGGCTTCGGGTTGAGGGTTCAGGTTTCAGGGGGTCCGGGGCATCGAACCTCACAGGCTGGGGAGCTTCCTGGCTTAGTCTCTATCGGGTAGCCCTAAGCCCTAAAATCTAAACCGTGCACCCTCAGCCCTAAGCCCTAAACCAAAACCATCCTAAGCCCTAAGCCCTATAGGGCTCTTTAGAGTCTTCAGGGTTCTTAGGGCTTCAGGGGCTTCAGAGATCTGAGGTTGGTTTCATGAGCCCTTAAGATGGTCCTTGACCTCCTTTAAAGGGTTCTGATGTACGGGCCCCTGGGTTGTATAGGCTCTATAAGGGGTATAAAAGGGGTCCCCCTTGAAAGGCCCATACTAAGGGACCATGTAACTACCCTTAGAAAGTCAAGGGTGGCACCCTCGGACCCGATTTAGGGTGTTGAAAAGACCTGAACCTTGAGCCTGCATGGTCCCTAGCTTCGGGTTTGAGTCCGTCTCCCTTCTGTTTTTATAAGTTGGGATGCTATGCCTCTGATGAAGATTTCGGTTTTGCTGAACTCGGATGAGGTTCCAGGGGTTTGAGGATCCAGGTTTAGGGCTTACTAGGGGCTTTTTTTCGTTGTGTGATTTGGGTAGTTTCCTAAGCCGAAAAAGGGGACCCTAATTTAGAGAACTACCCATTTGGGGAGTTGGGATTTAGGATTTTAGGGACATGTGGTGCCGCAACTCCCAGCCAGCTGTTCTCGACTGTGAGACTTGAGTCCACTCTTACATCCTGCTCGAAGTCAGCACTGAGCCAACTGCAAAGTTGGAAAGTTCTGCAATGGTTACCCCTAAGTCTACGGGTCCATGTACCTACTTTTTATGGCTTGCATGGGCTGAAAAACCCGAAACCCCAAAACCCCAAACCCCAAACCCCAAACCCCAAACCCCAAACCCTAAACCCTAAACCCTAAACCGCCTTTGGGGCCCAAGTGTATGATAATTAGGTACATGCACCCCTCGGGTGACATCGAGACCTCAGTTCTCAAGCCCAGTACTTTCAAGATGATGTAACCCCTGTTGAGGCACATGGACCCCAAACCCTAAACCCTAAACCCTAAACCCCAAACCCTAAACCCCAAACCCTAAACCTTGAGGTTTTGGGTTTGGGGTGCTGTGCAGGTCTTAACGGCCTCAGAGGATGCGACTGCCAAGATTTTCGACCTCTGAAGGCCCTGCGCGCCGCAACGCGAGATTTGTGGACCCAGGGCAGGGTGTCTACAAGGAAACCAAACTCATAAATTGATACATAAAATTACATCAATAAACAAACAAATAGTTCAATCAGTATGTGTTTATATAATTATTGTCTGTTATTTTACGTATACACATGAAGTATGTGCAGAGACAGGATTATCAAGTTCTAATGCTTCCATGCGCCATGCGGACATAACGCATCGTCGCTAGCGTGTTCTGTTGCTATATACTTCTTAAGACGTGAGTGGCGAAGTGGTCCCTGGCCTGATGTATAGTGCAGTCTCACGTGCATGTTTCGGTCTCACTTCTCGTGCCTCCGCGGAAGCCGCCATAGGCGTCGTTGATCTCGTGCCGGCACCAAACAGCGTACGGAGAAGGTGTGAGGAAACCCCTAGACCCTAAACCCCTAACCCCTAAACCCTAAACCCTAAACCCTAAACCCTAAACCCCTAAACCCTAAACCCTAAACCCTAAACCCTGGAAGGGACCCATGATCCCTGTACTGAGCTGCCACTGCAATCTGCCCGACATCTTCCCAAGACTACTCAAATGCCCTTCAAAAAAACAGTAGGGTTTAGGGTTTAGGGTTTAGGGTTTAGGGTTTAGGGTTTAGGGTTTAGGGCATTTGGGACATAGGTACCTGTATGATCTCTTAAAGGCGCACACAGGAGGAGATGAGGTGCCTGAACGCCGCAGTTCACCCTAAACCCCAGAACCCTAAGGGTCCATGTACCTCATTATTATATACTTGGGCCCCAAAGTCCCTGTACAGGAAGTACTTTTTAAGGCTCAAGTAAGTATATAACAATCAGGCACATGAACCTTAGGGGAAGTTCAAGTTCATGTCTAACTCCATAGTAGCTACGGCTAGTAAGACCATCATGCCCCCTGAACATGCGGTGTCGTGGCACAGGTCCCTTTCGCTGGGTTCATTGCGCTGAGCGTTCAGGGCCTACAGGGCTCAGAATTTTATGGCTTTAGGGTCTAGGGTTTGAGTCTGGCAGTTGAATGCAACTTGGGAGTGTAGAGTCAAGGGATATTGGCTGTTTGGGGCTGGGAAGGGCATGACCACTTCACTACAGGCTTGCCGAACCCCAAACCCGAAACTTTGGGGACAAACCCGAAGCCACAAACCCTAACCCCAAAGCCACAACCTCCAGAAATGCCGTAGGGTCAGTTGCCAGTGGCTCAAACGACAGAAGTGGAGTTTGCCACCATGTGGCCCCCTAGCCCCGGAGTCAGGAGTCAAAAGTGTAGTACACTCATTTCCTGCTTCTAGACTCTAGCCTATTGTAAATCCGAAGCCCTAACCCCCAACTCTAAACCCTGAACCTAAACCCTACACCCTTCAGGCCTTCAGGTCTTCTAGCTTAGGACGGCAGTTTGCTCGATCCAAGAATGGCTGACAGGGGCCCAGAAGGCCCGGAGAATCCCTGAATGCCCACTGTCTTAGGATTTAGGGTTTAGGCTGAAGGGTTTAGGGTTTAGGGTTTAGAGTTCAGGGTTCAGGGTTCAGGGTTTAGGGCCAGTTTAGGGTTTCGGGTTTAGGGCTTAGGGTTTGGGTTTAGGGTTTAAGACTTGTCCTGGAACTCTGGGGGGTTGCCGCTCTTCCGGCCAGGGTTGTGCAGGGACGCTTTGGTGCTCCCGACTTGAGTGTAGCTGAGGGTTCAGGGTTCAGGGTTCAGGGTTTAGGGTTTAGGATTTAGGGTTTCAGGGTTCGGTTAAGATTTTGTTGGGGGCTCTGGGATGAACATTCGAGCTGTCCTTGTGGTTGTTAGGGAACATTGGCTGTGAGGAGCCTTGGCATTCAGCCAGCATCCGGCCAGGGAAGGTACTTCCACATACTGCAACACGAACTCATCCAGGTGCACCCATTCTAGTCAGGTATCTGAGCTGTTGCTGATCAAGACCCCTCAAGAAGTTGCGAATGTTGATCACGGCGTACGCAAGCCCTAAACCCTACACCCTACACCCTACACCCTAAACCCTAAACCCTAAACTTAAACCCTAGACCCTATAAACCCCCCAGCTGCAGAACCAGAATCCTGCACGGTCGCCAGATGTGGAGAGCTACCCCTCCATGCATCTTCAGCTTAGGCGCGGCGTTGCACCCAGGGCTTACCTATGGGCTTTCATAGGGTTTTATTTTAGGGTTTAGGGTTTAGGGTTTAGGTTTATAGGCTTTAATGGGGTTTGTGGGTTTCTCCAGGTTTCTCTAGGCTTCCAGGTCAGGCTTAGGGTATGCCTTAAGTCGTTTTGCAGGAGTATGCCAAACTCCTCAAAACAGAGCCCCAAAAACCTACAGCTGGAACTGGCTAGAGAGCTATTTGCCGTTTCAGGGTTTAGTGTTTACAAGGGCTGGGCCCGGCTGCACAGTGGCAGACGCCATAAGCAGCAACTTCCGTTGTCTTTTTGTGCAGAAAAGAAACCTAAATCCTAGGGCTTGGGGCTTAGAGTTTAGGGTTTAGGAGCCCTTATGGTCCTGGGCGTGGACCCTTGGGTTTAGCGTTTGGGGTTTAGGGTTTAGGCTCTTAACCAGGATTCTGTACCCTAAACCCTAAACCCTAAACCCAGATCGTTCGAGGTCTTTGGTCAAAGACACATAGACTCAGGTTTTCTTTGTGGTGCTTTACTGTAACTTTACATCTTTAGCCTTTTTGGGTTTATTGGGTTTCTTAATAAGGCAGCTAAAAGTTTAATTCTTTGCTACCCTCCTAAGTGCAGCCAAGTTTTGGAGGCCTTTAGTAGGGTTTTGGGGCTTACCCTAAGGGTCCATGTACCTTATTATTATATACTTGGGCCCCCAAGTCCCTATATAGGAGGTACTTTAAGGCCCAAGTATAAAATAATCAGGTACATGGACCCTTAGGGTTAGGGTTCAGAGCCGAGCTCTCGCGTAGCCGTAGCCGTGTTTGCTCAGAACCCTTTCAACCATGGCTTTCATGCAAAGGCGCCTTCCTCCCTTGCAGCGGGTGTTCCTCAACCTCGATTCCAAGCCTGCTGACCAAATGAGCCCTAAAATTGGGGTCATATGCCCTATACTACTATAGTTCTTATTAAGGTATCTGAACCATGAACCCTTTTAGGGTTCATTTCGTCCCCAAGGAAGCCCGCTGCCTCGCAGAGCACACTCCGCCGCTGCCGCAGTTTCTCCGACTTCACGCCCTTCGAGCTCAGCGAGGTCCATTTCCTAGGGGGAGTAGGCCCTTTTTTCCTTTTTTTAGGGGTTGGGGTTCCCTTAGAATCCCCTTAAATCCAAGAAAGGGCCACCCTTTTTAGGGGAGTAGGCCCTTTTCTCCTTTTTGTAGAGGGGTTGGGGTAATCCCCTTAGAATCCCCTTAAAATCCAAAACAGGGCACCCTTTTTGTTCCGAGGTTACTCTTGGGTCGAGTTTCGAGCTTGGCGCGAAACCCTGCGTCGCACCGGTCTCCCAAGCTTCCGACGCCGTACGTGGGGACCAGCGCGGCCCAGAAACTTAGCCAGCTGAGTATAGGTAACCCTAAACCCTAAACCCCAAACCCTATAAACCCTAAAAGGCCTAAACCCTAAACCCTAAACCCACCTTAAGAGCATCCTCGCACCTTTTAGAGCACTAAAAGCAGAACACCCTTTAAGCCCAAAGGTTCGCACTTTCCCGGCAGGAAATGGAAGAACTAATATGTTCAAATACCAATTACCAACTTAGAGGCTGAGTAAGTATCCTTTAAACCTTTAGGGTTATATATATATATATATGCAAATGGAAGAACTAATATATGCAAATTCCAATTACCAACTTAGAGACTGGGGAAGTTTTAGCTTGAAGCTTTTTTTTGGTTATATAGAACCCTACTATGAATAAAAGGTTAGCCTTTTCTGGGCTCAGATTCAGCCCCTAAGCCAAGCTGGTGCTACAACATTGACTGCTAGTATAAGTAACCCTAAACCCTAAACCCTAAAAACCCTAAACACCCTATAAACCTATAAACCCTATAAACCCTATAAACCCTATAAACCCTATAAACCCTATAAACCCTAAACCCTAAACCCAGAGTATAGTAATGAACCAAAAGGAAAGCGAGGCAGAAGACCTGCCTGTGACGTTTCCGGACACGGACGACGAAGAAGCACCTTGGGGGACGAAATGAGCCCTCAAAGGGTTTATGTTTCCGAGGTAGGCCCCTGGGATATTTTATGTTTTCCCTTATTGGGTTTAAGAGGATCATATTCAGGAATATTTTTCAGAGGCTTTAAGGGGCCAACCTAGTTTCATATACCTCAATTGCATGGAATTCTAGTAGTATACCCTAAGGGTCCATGTACCTGATTATTATATACTTGGGCCTTAAAGTACCTCTTATATAGGGACTTTGGGGCCCAAGTGTATAATAATGAGGTACATGGACCCTCAGGGATATGGTATATGACCCCAATTTTTGGGGTTCATTTGGTGCCCAAGGCAGTGGCTTGGGTTGAGGCGCAATCCGCCAACACGGTGGCTCCGCCGGCCGAAGACACAGCGAGCAAACGCCGGCTCAATTAGTGGTTTAGGGTTTAGGGTTTAGGGTTTAGGGTTAGGATTTAGGGATTAGGGTTTAGGGTTTTGGGTTTTGGGTTTAGGGTTTAGGGTGTAGAACATGTTTTGTTTTCACCCGCCGGAAATTCATTCAACTCAGCACCGGTTCGGTTCTGATTCCGGGGAGTAGGTAGGAGTCGCAAAGGCATCGACGGCCTGTGGCTCACACCACTGGCCGAGTCGGCGGCCACAGCCAAGGACCCTGGCATCTCTTCCGTTGGGGTGAGGGGTTGGGGGTTAGGGTTTAGGGTTTAGGGTTGAGGGTTTAGGGTTGAGGGTTTAGGGGTGGGGGCTCATGGCATGATCCAGGATGTGCCAGACTACATGCCGCAGCGAGTCGCCGGCTTCCAGCATGGCTTCTGCAACATGCCGAGTGGCTTCACCAGCTTTCCAAACAAGGGCTATGCCAGTGTGAATTGCGGCAACACCAGCACGGCGCAAGCGTTTCACAATGCATGGCGCAATCGCATGCTCACCGCCCCGGCTGGGGGCTCGCAGCAAGTGGACAGCGTACGCTTGCAGGTGCAGGGCATGCAGATGAACATGGAGAAGTGGTGTGGAAGCCACATGCACCCAGACGAGAAGCCGACGGTGTCTCCACAGGTGCTCTCTACCTCGATGGCAAGGCCGCAAACAAACCGCACGACTTTCCAGCCAAGCGCGGAGGAGCAAGTGACGAGAGCCCAGCGTACTGGCACCATGGCCATGAAGAAGGCAAGAGCCATGATGCCTGCTGCTAGGACCCAGAGTCGGCCCCTTTTTTTCACTTGTTTTAGGGCTTAGGTTCCCTTATCATGCCCCCTTTTTTATTTGAAGGTTACTCCTGGGTCTGGTATCCCTAAACCCCAAACCCCAAACCCCAAACCCCAAACCCTAAACCCTAAACCCTAAACCCTAAACCCTAAACCCTATACCCTATACCCTATACCCTATAAACCCTAAACCTAGGCTGTGGATCTCCAGCCGACGGTTCCAAACGTCCGCCCTCGACGCGGGCGGCGGTTCCCAAGGTCCTCGGCGCGGCCTGAGAACCGATCACAGGCTCGAAGAGATTCGTAGAGCTCCCTCCTTAAGGGTCCATGTACCTCATTATTATATACTTGGGCGCCAAAGTCCCTGTATAGGAAGTACTTCAAGGCCCAAGTATAAAATAATCAGGTACATGGACCCTGAGGGCCTGTAAAGCTTATCATCTCTCCAAGCATTCGACACCAGGACGGGCTATTTGGCCTTAAACTCCTCATAATGAACCCTGCAAAGGGCCTTAGTAAGGGGATGGTAGGGTGGAATAGCCCATCCTGGTATGCAGAGGTGGCATTCCCAATCAATTGCCACCCGGTTGGAAGATCATAGGTGCTGATTCCTGCCCTCTGTTTAACCCGCAACTTCTGGCCCTAAACCCTAAACCTAAACCCTAAACCCTGACTTGGTAGACGGAAGTAGCTGGACGAACTTGGTTTTCTGAGGCCTGGAGTCAGCAGCCCAAGCGAATTCAGCATGCATAAGAGCTATCTCCTTTCAGATCGGCGTGACAGCAACCTTGGGGACGAAATGAACCCTAAAAGGGTTTATGGTTCAGATACCATAGTAGGAACTATAGTAGTATAGGGCATATGACCCCAATTTGAGGGTTCATTTGGTCAGCTACCCTATACTACTACCCTATACTACTACAGTTCCTATTATGGTTCAGATACCATAATAGTAACTATAGTAGTATAGGGTATATGACCCCAACTTTCAGGTTCATGTGGTCCCTGAGGAAGTGATCCCCGAAAAGGCATCTGAAACTCCAAAGGAGTTGGAAATTAGCACTTCCACGGCACAGTGTGCAGCCGTGTAGGGCCCCAAACCCTAAACCCTAAACCCTAAACCCTAAACCCTAAACCCCCTTCCGGCTGCCCGATGCCGTCTGCAGAGAGAGAGAGGGCTTTGACATGTCGTTCAGAACATCAACTTCTATTTGCTTAAGAACCCCCCCCCCCCCCCCCAGAAAATAGGAAAATATTCTTCTTATAAGGGCAATATAGGGGTTACTGTTGTGCTTGTTTTTTCGGGGGTTCTTAAGCAAATAGCAGTCAATTGGTTAACGGCTTGGGCCGGCGAATGCTCACAGCGTTACAGGGCTTAGGCTTTGGAGCCGATTTTGGTGGCTTAGGATTTAGGGTTTAGGGTTTAGGGTCTACGGTGGCGGGTGACAAGTCTAAAGCCCCTCCTGCGGCCATGCGGAGGGCCGCAGGCAGAGGCCTTCTTTCATATGGCATCCGAACTTCACAGCCTGCAGCTTTGTTCTAAACCCTAAACCCTAAACCCTAAACCCTAAACCCTAAACCCTAAACCCTAAACCCTAAACCCTAAACCCGATCCCCTCATGCCCTTCCTTCGGAGGAGCCCTTGGACTGGGATGCCCGGTACTACCTTGTTTCATGTTTGTAGAGTTAGACTCCTTACTACTATTTGCCTAAGAACCCCCAAAAAACAACACAACAAACCCTGTATTGCCCTTATATGGAAGAACCTTTTTCCATGGGGGTGGGGGGGGGGGGGTTCTTAAGCAAATGGTAGCTTATGAACCCGATATTCAGCAACCAAAAAAGGCACCCATCTTTCATCTTGTTTACTGGGCAACCTGGTGGATGTACCTCCGGGATTTGGGAAGGGGGGGGGGGGGCGGCATGGCTGAAAACATCCAACCGCTATCCTGTAGTCAGGCATATCCGGAGGTTGATTTCGACGTATACCGTGTTGAACTTTGTTGCCTGCCGAAGTCCACCCCGGTATCTGGCAAAGTCGCTTGTGAGAGCGTCGGCAGCTTCGTCTTTGCGCCCGCTCTCAGCCAAGTGGGGGAGCAGCCCGCTTCGCAGGGACTTTGCAGAGAGTTTGAAGTTTAGCTCTCGGGTTTACCTGAAGCAATTGTAGTTCCTTTTTGTGTTAGTTATCGGAGTTTATAGCATACTACACCGAAAACAATACCATTAACTAGGATCCTTCAGGTAGGGTTTCTTGATTCCTGTGGTCTTCGGTTCAAGTGATTGGGGTTTTGGCAGGGCTCTGCCCGTGCGAAGAACTGCGCTCCTCAGCTTACTATTCCAAGGTGTACCATCTTTCAAGAAAGAGCCGAGATTGCACAGTATCTCATGCTGACAGCACCCACGCTTGCAGCGAGTCTGAGGCAAACGGCCACTAGGACCTGGTCTAACCTGATACACCCCTTCAAGCAAAACGGGTACCCTTCTTTTAAATCCTAAGCCCTCAAACCCCGCCCATCGTGCTTCGAGCCAACATCGGCACTGTTAGGGGCTTGGGTTTAGGGTTTAGGGTTTAGGGTTTGGGGTTTGGGGTTTGGGGTTTATAGGGTTTATAGGGTTTATAGGGTTTATAGGGTTTATAGGGTTTATAGGGTTTATAGGGTTTATAGGGTTTATAGGGTTTATAGGGTTTACAGGGTTTACAGGGTTTACAGGGTTTATAGGGTTTGTAGGGTTTATAGGGTTTACAGGGTTTAGGATGTTGCATGCAAGCATGGTTGTGGACTTTCGGGTCAGTTCGTTCGGTTGCACCTTGGGGTTTGCATGAATATGTAGGGTTTAGCTTCCGGGCCTTAGGGTTTGGGATTTAGGGTTTAGGGTTTACGGATACATATACATATCCATATATACATACACACACATATATATATATATATCAAAAAAATATGTAGGCCACCCATCCGGAAGATGCAAACGTTGCGGGAGCGAGGCAGCTCAACCCAAGAACAGCTATGGAGGGACAGGCTCTCTCCAACCTGGGGTCTTCTCTCCAAGCTTTGCCTTCAAAGTCAACGTTTAGGGCTTAGGGTGCCCGGTTTAGGGTTTAGGGTTTAGGGTTTAGGGTTTAGGGTTTAGGGTTTAGGGTTTAGGGTTTAGGGCAAGCCCATGAACCACCCCCCGCCTCCCCCACCACCCCACCCCCCACCCCCACCTTCCCATCGCCCAAGCAATCCGAGCCTATAATAATACCCGGAATCCTGTAGACCCAAAGCCCTGAACCCAACACCCTATATGGTCTATTAAAACGACTGTTTGCATAAGAACCCCCACCCCTCCCACAAAATATATCTATATATATATATATATCTATATCTATATCTATATCTATATCTATATCTATATCTATATCTATATCTATATATATACATATGTATACACACATGCATACAAACATACACACATACATACATACATACATATATATATATATATTTATTTAAATTTCCTTTTACGGGCAATATGGGTGTTATTATCTGTCAGTTTTGTTTTGTGGGGCGAGGGCTCTTAAGCAAATAGTGGTAAACCCTGTAAATCCTGTTAACTGTCCTGTAAGCCCTATATACACCCTGGACGCTGAACCTAAACTCTATCAGCCTGAACATACACCAATGAGGCCTATGAACCCTAGGAACCCTCCTCTGAACCTTATGAACCCTATGAACCCTCTCTGACGCTTTTGATTGCAGGGTTCTTCAGGTATTGGGGTTCAAGGGGGGTATGTAACCTTCCCTCATACTCCCTACCACTCCCTAAGGCTCCCTAAGCTTCCCTAAGGTTCCCTAGGTACCTACCCCCCTTGAACCAATCCCCTAAACCCTAAACCCTAAACCCTAAACCCCAAACACCCCCCATGAAACTCCCTCCCTTAAGAACCTATAACACCAACCCTTTAAACCAGGCCCTCGCAGCTGGCAGCCGATGCGCCCGCGGAGCGGCTTGCGAAGGCCTCCCAGGGTTTTAGGGGTTTAGGGTTTAGGGTTTAGGGTTTAGGGGCTCTGAGGGTTTTAGGGGTTTTAGGGTTTCGGGGTCAGGGGCCCGGCCCTAAGAGCTGCAGGGGTGACGCTAAATTGTTTAGTAGGGCTTAGGGCTTAGGGTTTAGGGTTTAGGCTTTAGGGTTTAGTGTTTCGCCCACTGCAGGTCCGAAACTGGGCCATGTCGCTCACGCTTCCGCAGATGGCGCAAGGACTGGCTGGTTCTTAGTAGGGAAAGAGGGCTTGAGGTACCTTTGGGATGTTCTCCTTTTTTAACAGTCCTTAACAGGGATTATAATATGGGGTACTATAATCCCTGTTCGACTGCTGGTATATGAGGGAACATCCCAAGGTTTAGGGTTTTTCTTGCGCCGTGGGTTTAGGGTTTAGGGTTTAGGGTTTAGGGTTTCGGGTTTAGGGCGAACCCTTCCGTGTCCAATGTCTCTGTTGTTGCCGTCCAAAACGGATTCGGGGGCCTGTCAGCATATCATTTAGGGAACATCATGTCCCTTAACAAATTTCCTTAAGCCATATTAGGTTCCCTTTTTAAGCGGGATAGTCTTAGTCTCAGGGTTTCTTGTGCAGTTTCAGTGATATGTTATCCCTAATTCTGGGATCTTGTGGTCTCCCGAAAATGGGGGTACCCTTTTGGGGGGGGGGTTCCTTTAAGGGGATCCTATTCGGGTTGGGGTACAATAGGGGTACCCCAATGTTGGGAAATGCCCATATTGGGGAGCCTAAACCCTAACCCCTAAACACCAAACCCCAAACCCCAAACCCTAAACCCTAAACCCTAAACCCTAAACCCCTTCCATACTGGGGTCTCTGGGAAGGAGAGCCCCCACCGGTGCACCTGCCCACCTTGAGGCCGTCTGGGCAGCGGGGTTCGGGTTCTTAGGATTCCAGTGCCCCTAGCCCTAAACCCTAAACCCCAAACCCTAAACCCTGGCCCTAAACCCTAAACCCTAAACCCTAAACCCTAAACTCTACACCCTAAACCCTGAACCCAAACCCTAAACCCCAAACCGGAAGCTTGCAGTGTCGGTTTTTGACAGGCGTTCCGGGGGCTTTCGGCTTTCAGGATCCGGGGGGTGCAGCTGTGTGTTGTAATTCCTAAGCTGGAGGGGGCGGTTTAGGGTTTAGGAGTTAATGGTTTGTTTTACTCTGTTTGGGAGGGGAAGGGGCGGAGGGAGATGGGTTCTCGGGTTCGTGCATGCTTTTGGAGTTCTGCCCCTAAACCCGCGAGTGCCGATAGGTTGCTGCGCACGGGGGTCTTTTG